CTGTTTCCTTTCCCGGACAACACGTCGCTGCCGCACGACCGCCCCGGCCTGAGTGAACAGGTCCCACCAGGCTGTGAGGCGAGGCTGGGGAGGCCCCGCCCCTCCAAGAAGAAGGTAACCCTGCGGGTCCGCCAACGCCCGGTCGGGTCCTGACGGGAGACCCTGGGCAAGTGGCTAAACCTCCTCCTGTCTCATCCTCCCTCTTTCCCGGCGGCGAGGAGCGTGCGGTTCGGAGCCCCAGGACTGCCCCTGTCCGGTCAGACAAGCCCTATAAAGCGAGGCGAGGACCTGGGAAAGCTCACCTCCCGGGAGGTCTTCCCAGTCCCGCTGCTCCCGGGCCTTTCACTTTACCGTTTTCCCTAGAACACGTGCCACTGACATCTGAAATGATCTTGGTTTCCACGACCAGTGTCACCTGCTCTCAGCCTGCGACCCCACCAGGGCAGGCCCTGGGACCTGTCAGTGCTGGGTCGGCGGTACCTGGAACAGTGTCTGGCACTCGGTCGCAGTGGACGCTTCATGAATATTTTCGGCTCTTTTGAATGCACCTCCTCTTTTTCTCTCTCCACTACCTTTTGATTTGGGGAACATAGTGTGTCCGACACCTCTCAGGGCCTGTTTCCTTCTTTGCGGGTGACATGGTTCCTTTTGGCTCTGGGAGTCTGGGGTGCCTGTGGTCCAAGACAGGGCTGATGGGAAAAGGAGGTTCAGGAAGGGATAGCCTGGGAAGGGCATCGGGAAGAGGGGGCAGGCAGTGGGGGCCCCCCCCAGGGGCCGGTTCCTGGAAGTACTGCTTGGGAGGTCAGGGAGTTGTGACATCGGCTCTCGAGCCAGACAGCTGGGTTTCATTTCTGCTTCCAGCACTTCCTGGCTGCATGACCTCGGGCTACTTACCCAGCGAGCTATTCTGGGCCTCAGCTTCCTAATCTGTACAGTGGGGATGGTGTTTGCACCTGCTTCATAGAGCTCTGAAGTTGACATGAGTCAACCTTTGTAAAGTGCCTGGGACAGGCCTGGCACAGAGGAAGTGCTCTCAGCGAGGTAACCTCTTGTTGAGTGAGGGGCTGCTGAACCACCAGCTTCCTGGTAACACCACAACAAAAAGTTCAATGACTGCTATCCTTATGCAACCTGGGACTCCTGAAAAGATGACGCTGGCCTTCCCTGTGGTCTAGTAGGGGGATTCCAGCCTCCATGGCCACTCACGGACCCGGGGGCTAGGACACACTGCCAGCCTGGGAGGCTGGGTATGGGCTGGTGTCCACTGGCACAGCATAGCAGGGGGCATGAACCAATCATGGGAGAAAGAGAGTTTGATTTTTAAAAAGTTACATAAATAGACAGCAGAAGAGTCACATTATGGGAAAAAGCCAGATTTTCGGGACTTGCTCATACTTATAAGCTAGTATTTATTTTATAGGATAAATTTAGAGTTACAAATGTGACAGCTTCCAAAGTTCCTACCCAGTTGTTCAATTAAACACTAATCAAAGTGTTGCTATGAAGGTATTTTGTAGATGTGGTTAATATCACCGATCAGCTGACTTTAAGTGCAGGGGATGACTCTGGATAATGTGGGTGGGCCTCATCCAATCAGTTGCAAGGCTTTAAAAGCAAATACTGAAAGGCCTTAAGATAAATATTGATGCACCCCTATGGTCCATTGCAGCATTATTTACAATAGCCAAGCTGTGGAAGCAACCCAAGTGCCCATCAATAGATGAGTGGATATGTCCTGGCCAGTGAGCTCAGTGGTCAGAGTGTCAGCCTGCACACTGAAAGTCTCAGGTTCAATTTCTGGTCAAGAACACATACCTGGGTTGCAGGTTCAATCCCCGGCCCTGGTTAGGATATGTGCGGGAGGCAACCAATCCTCCCTCTCTCTCTCTCCCTTCCACTCTTCTCTAAAAATCAATGGGAAAAATATCCTTGGGTGAAGATTAACAAAAATAAATTAAAAATAGATGACTGGATTAAAAAAGCTGTGCTACATATATACAATGGAATATTAGTCATGAAAAAAGAATGAATCTTAAAAAAAAAGAATGAATCTTACTATTTGCGACAGTGTGGATGAACCTAAAGGGTATTGTGCTAAGTGAAATAAGTCAGTTAAAGAAAGACAAATACCATATGATTTCACTTATATGTGGAATCTAAAGAACAATATAAACAAAACAGAAAAGGACCAGATACAGAGAACAGACTGATGGTTTTCAGAGGGGAAGAGTGTTGGAGGACTAGGTGAAAAAGGCAGAGGGACTGAGAAGTACAGATTGGTAGTTCCAGAATAATCATGAGGGTGTAAACTACGGCATAGGAAATATAGTCAATTATATTGTAATAAGTATGTTTGGTGACAGTTTGGTGCTGGCAATATCAGGGGGAACATTTGTGAAGTATATGATTGTCTATCCACTATGCTGTACACCTCAAACTAATACAAAATAATATTAAATGTAAATTGTAATTGAAAGAATTAAAAAACAAAACAAAAATTAACTATAAATGAAAATACTGAAGTTTCCCCGAGGAAGAAGTATCAGCTTCTGGCCAAGAGTTTCCAGCCTGCTGGTCTACCCTACAGATTTCAGACTTGCTTGCCAGTCCCCATAATCGTGTAAGCCAATGCCTTAAAATAAATCTCTTAATACTCACACACTGACAAACACATATAGCCCACTAGTTCTGGTTCCTTGGTAGACCCCTGACTGATATAGGAACTAAGCAGGTGAGTCTGGAGTTAGCCTCGGTTGAAATCCCAGACCCACAATTTACTAATTTACTACCTGTGCCATCT